GGTCAAAAGTGAGCTGTTTTGTTATCTCATAACCTTGACAACTACAAAGAGGCTGGAGAAGGGGGAAATCAGGCTTGGGTGACCTTCAGCCACTTCAGTTTAAAAAGTACCACTTTTTTTTTCCTTTCCACTTTGAGATAGAGGAAGTTATTGCTTTTGTGGGCAGCAAAACAAAGGAAAGATTTAAGGTAGAGGAAGCAACAAGAGAGAGCCTAGGTGGCCTGCTTTGGCTCCTTAGAAAAATTATACATAGGAAAGGAGTGAATTAAGGCAGGGCTGCCTTCATTCACCTGGAAGTTAGGAAAAGAGGGTCCTGGAGACAGGATCAGAAGGTTAGCCCAGGTAAGTTTCTGCTGCCCACTGCTTCTCTGGACGCAATCTCCTTGGGACCCATAAAATCTAGAGAAAACATTGGGTTTATGCCCAAGAAGGGGCAGTGAAGAAAGAGTAAGACATTCACCTAGTAAATACAACACTGCCCCTTAGTGGAGAGATGCAACAGGATTATAACAGGTTAATGATTTAAACTTATTGTTCCCTGGTCATGGTGTAGAGGTGGAAAAGACTAGGGGATTTTGAGTAGTGGGTCAAAGTGTGCTGTTTATAAGAGGAGCTCCCAAATGCTGTTACGTCTTTGCTCATCTCCAGCTCTCTTATGTGTCTTGGTTTTTCCCCTGGTTGTCTAAGACATCTGGGAGACTCAGAGTGCTGGGTGACCAACCCTTATTTTGTATATCCCTGGACAGCCAAAGTTACATTATAGTGATGGGAGTTTCCTATGAGGCCCCTGCATGTCTTAGGGATTGACCCTAGATACCTCCATGAGGCCCCCACTCTATTAAGGATGCCCAAGAACTCAGACTGGAGGGGGGATGTGCCTCTTCAGTCTTCGGAACCCAGGCAAACCTGAGCACTCATCTCAGATAAAACAATGCTGGTGGCACCGTTACTCATTGTGTTCAGGATGGCTAGAGACAAAAGGTTGGATTTGAGTCACTATCTGAGTCACAGCACCAAAATATGTTATAGTGGGGTGAGAGAGACCTGAGTCAAGAGGCTCTCTCTCTGCCTCAGTTCTTGTCTCACTTACAAGACACGAATTCAAGTGAGAGACAGACACATACAGCAAAAATGAGATAGAAAATTTTAAAAAAGATTTTTTAAATTTATTTTTGGAGAGAGGAAGGGAGGGAGAAAGAGAGAGAGAGAAACAGCAATGTTCAGTTGTCTATCACATGCATCCCACTGGGGATCTGGCCCTCAACCCAGGCATGTGCCCTAGGTTAGGAATTGAACTGGCAACCCTTTGGTTCTCAGGCCGGCACTCAATCCACTGAGCCCCACCATCCAGAGCAGAGATAGCAAATTTATTTATGAAACACACAAGCACAAAGCTGCAAGCAGGCACCCACCTAATCTAAATACCCCATGTACAGAGAAAATGAAGATGTTAGTGTGTTAGTAAGTTAGTGAGTTTGTCCTATACACTTGAGCAGAGGCTACAAGTGGGTACCTAGCTAATCTAGATATGCCAACTATTGGGGTTTAAGGATTATATACCTCAGCTAGCTTCCAGTTACCCCTCCATTTCCCCTTTGGGAATAATGTGCAGCTGAAAAGGCTTTCTTTTTCAGTTAGTAAAGGTCCTTTGTCTTAGTGAAATTGTTATAGAAACTTCCTTTCCCAGCATAGAATCTCAAGGACTAGCTCCCTCTCTGGACTACTTCCACTTTTGATGTTTAGGACACCTGGAATTCTTAGTGAGATTGTTACAGAAGCCCCCTTTCTCAGCACAGTCTCAAGGACTCCCTTTTCTCTTGGACTGTTTTGCTTGTGATGCTCAGGATGCCTGGCAATCTTATCAAACCGAGTTCAGGACTGTTGAGTTAATTGGTGATACATGTCTTCTTTTTGCTTCTAGCCTCCTATATTATTTTTAGTTTGTATTGGTGAGGGCCCTACCTTTATTTCCCTTCTGGCCACTCATTCTTAGCTGCTATCTAACATCTTGATTACTGCCACTTTATAGTAAGTCTTGAATTTGGCCCTCCAAATTTGTTCTTCTCCTTCAATATGGTATTGACCATTCTAGGTCATTTTCCACTCCACATAAACTGTGGAATCAGTTATTCAATATCCATAAAATAAGCAAGAAGATCCAAGATGGCAGCAGAGTAGGTGGAAGCTACGCTAACCTCCTCCAAGGACCAAACTGGAATTACAATCAAATTATAGAAAAATCATCCTGAATAACCAACTTAACACTAGCTGGAGAGAAGCCTTATAACTAAGGACTTTTGAAAGAAACCGCATCACCACAATGAGATTGGTAAAGAATTCAGAGGCCCGAGAGGGCTGGCTGGGCTCCCACAGGTGGTAGCTGAAGTGTTGGAGGGATAGTGCAGCAGCTGGGGGTTTCCCCCTGAGAATTGTGGGGCCTAAACCCCAAGCTGGGCTCTCCAGCCTTGAGCACCAGAACTGGAAAAGGAACCCATAACGTCTGGCTTTGAAAAGCAGCAGGGTTTCTGTCTGCCAGTGAGAGATGGCTAGAGATTCAGAGAGCTTCTTAAAGGTCAAACACACAAAATGTCATTTCCTGCCACTTACTCTGAGATCTGGCAGGAGGAAAGAACAGACTAGAGCCATGTGAGGAGAGTCTGGGGTTGGTGGCACTGGAGAGAGAGCTGAAGTATCTGCCACCAGAATCCCTGTGCTCAGTCATTCCTCATACTGCAGAAGTCATCTTTCTCAGGTAGAGCACTCCCCTTGAAGCACCATCAGCCTAGGGGGGGGCAATAGCTCCACTTACAGTAATCCCTCTCATCCCACCATGTGGAGCTTAAGATAGAGTATAGCTGGAGGCACTTTCAGTAATTAAACCTAACAGAAAACCTGTAGGTGAAGGTGGATCTCTGAAAGTTTGAGATTTCAGCTGACCCTCCTCCAGGTTCAGTGCCGGTAAAATCTGTCCTTGGTGCACTGTTTGGTTCTTTATGCACACACCCATACCCAGAAGAGGAAGCCATAAGTTTTGGATCACTGACAGTTCCAAACAGGTTGCCGAGGGCCAGTCACAGATAGTGTCTGACATAGTGCTACACCGGAGGCATTGTAGATTTACCTAATACATAGAAACACACACAGAAAAGCAGCCAAAATGGGAAGACAAAGAAACAGGCCTTAAATGAAAGAATAGAGACTTCTCCAAAAGAAGAACTAAATGAAATGGAGGCAGGGAATTGATCAGATATAGAGTTTAAAATAATGATTATAAGGATGCTCCAAAGAATGAAAAAGGCATAAAAACCATAATAAACAGTCAAAATAAAGAATGCAATATCCGAAATAAACAATACACTGGAATGATTAAACAGTAGGTTAGATGAAGCAGAGAATTGAATCAGTGATTTTGAAGACAAGGTAAAACAAAAACAAAAACAACCCAAGCAGAGCATCAGAATAAAAAAAATTTTTTTTTAATATGAGGAGAGTTTAAGAAACCTTTGGGACAACAGGAAGGGTAACAACAGCCACATCATGGGGATACCAGAGAATAAGAGACTGAACAAAGGATCAAGAACATATTTGAAGAAACAATGACCAAAAACTTCCCTAACCTGGTAAAGGAAAAAGACACACAAGTCCAGAAAACACAGAGTTCCAAAAAAGAACAAAAGAGGCCACCACCAAGACACATCGTAATTAAAATGGTAAAACTTAAAGACAAGGAATCTTAAAAGCTGCAAGAGAAAAGTAGTTAGTTACCTACAAGAGGGCTTCCATTAGACCATCATCTGATTTCTCAACAGAAACAGTTTAGACCAGAAAGGATTGGCATGAAATATTCAAGATGATGAAAAACAAGGACCTACAACCAAAGCTAGTTTACCACAGCAAGGCTATAATTTATAATTGAAGAAGAAATAAAGAGCTTCCCAGTCAAGAAAAAAACTAAAGGAATTTGTTAACACAAAACCAGTATTGCAACAAATGTTGAAGGGCTTGCTTTAAGAAGAAGAAAAAGAGAAAGAAAGAAACAGAGGGAAATAGTCTAAAGACAAAATGTTGTTAACAACATTAAATATATATCTATCAATAATCACTTTAAATGCAAATGACTTAAATCTCCAAGCAAGAGACATAGGGTAGTTGAATGGATAAGAAAGCAAGGCCCATATATATATGCTGCCTCCAAGAGACTCACCTCAGATCGAAAGATACACGCAGACTTAAGGGATGGAAAAAGGTATTTCATGCAAATGAAAAGGAAAAAAAAACTGGGGTAGCAGTACTTATATCCAACAAAGTAGACTACAAAATCAAGGCTATAGTGATAGACAAAGAGGGATGGTACATAGTGATAAAAGGAATAATCCAACAAGAGAATATAACCATACTAAACAATTATGCACTCAACATAGGAGCACCTAAATATGTAAAGCGAACCTTGATGGACATAATTGGAAAGACTGACAAAAATACAGTCATAGTAGGGGATTTTAACATTTCATTGACTTCAATGGATAGATCTTCCAGACAGAAAATCAACCAGGAGACAATGGCCTTAAAGGACACACTAGATCAAATAGATTTAAATGATATCTTCAGAGTATTACATTCTAAAGCAATAAATACACATCCTTTTCAAGTGCACATGGAATGTTTCCTAGGGCAGATGACATGTTACAACACAAAACAAGTCTCAGATAATTTAAGAAGATTGAAATACCAAGTATCTTCTCAGACAATAATGCTACGGAAATAGAAATGAATCACAAGAACACTGAAAAACACACAAAGACATGGAAGCTAAATAACATGTTATTAAACAATGAATGGGTCAACAATGATATCAAGGAAGAAATCAAAAGATACCTTGAAACAAATGAAAATGAGGACACAGAGGAATGTCTTGAGCATCTCTGTTTCCAACGATGAACTAGCTGTCTGCAGCACAGGCTACTTGGCATGGCTCTCTGCCTGTAGCTCTGTCAGCATGTATGATGCCACCTCGTACTAACCTGGCTACTGGAATCCCCAGTAGTAAAGTGAAATACTCAAGACTCTCCAGCACGGATGATGGCTACATTAACCTTCAGTTTAAGAGCCCTCCTAAGATCCCATATAAGGCCATTGCGCTTGCTACAGTGCTGTTTTTGACTGGCACCTTTCTCATTATCACAGGCTCCCTCCTGCTGGTGGGCTATATCAGCAAAGAGCGGGCAGATCAGGCCATTCCTGTCCTGATCATTGGCATCCTAGTGTTCCTGCCAGGATTCTACCACCTGTGCATCGCCTACTGGGCATCCAAAGGCTACTGGGGTTACTCCTACAATGACATTACAGACTTTGGTGATTGAGCTCAGCTTTGAGATATTGAGCAGTTTGGCTAAACTATGGCTAAAAGCTGAGGAATTCTGCAGTTTTCAGATGTTTAACAATAGTCAGGTTTTATGGGTCCATCCTAAAGACTTAACTGAGCTTACAGTTAGCTAATTAGGGCATGCTCTATTTTTCATCTCCTGGCCCCAATAAAAAGCCGACAAGCTTTTCCACAGGAACATGTCTGTATCATGGAAGAATAACAATGTTAATTGTATGGGAAAACAGGAGGTTATTCTGTAGTAGAAAGTGCTTCTGCCACCACCCTTTTTGGAGTTGAATATTTCTTTTGAATAGTCTGTATTGTCAATTTGTTCTTGTGGCAAATGGAAGAATACAATATGTCAAATTTACTACTAAGTAGTTTATTTTGAAAACAATTATCTTATCTTCTGTGCTCTAACTTCATGTTCTAGTGGAAGACCTTGGCAAAATCAAATATTAGCATAGATGCATCTGTAATATTAAGAACAATCAGGAATTTTTTTAAACCTCAGAGCAGGTTTTCAAAATATAAACACTTTCTCTGTTCACCACTCCTTGGCCAGCTCTGGTCTGATTCACCAATAATTTGGGCACCATATAACTTGGGTAATTCTATCCTTTAAAGATTAAGATGTTCTGTATATCCTGCCTTTAAGGACTGGACTTATGGCTGTTTTCTAGGAAAAATGTAGATAAGTGGTTGTTATTTAGAGTTTATAACCCCATTGTTAGCGCCTTGTGTTATGATGTCATTCTGCTGAAGGTCACAAGATTTGGTCTGTATCCTTAGGAGACTACATTTCCTTAGTTTGATTCTGTTTCCTAGCTTGCAAAAAATGACTTATGTTCAAAAGAAATTAAAATGTCAAAATCTAAAAAAAAAAAAAAAAAAGAAAGAAAGAAAAGGAGGGCACAATAATCCAAAATCTGTGAGACACAGGGAAAGCAATGCTAAGAGGGAAATTCATAGCATCACAGGCATATCTCAAGAAACAAGATGGCCTAGCTGGTGTGCCTCAGTAGACTGAGCACTGGCCTATGAAGCAAAGGGTTGCTGGTTTTATTCCCAGTGTAGGGCACATGCCTGGGTTTCAGGCCAGATCCCCAGCAAGGGGGCACACGAGATGCAACCACACATTCATGTTTCTCTCCCTATCTTTATCCTTCCTTTCTCCTCTCTAAAAACAAATAAATACATAAATTTTAAAAAAAAAGAAACAAGAAAAAGCTCAAATTAAACAATCTACCTTTACACTTAAAGAAATTTGAGAAAGTACAACAAATATACACAAAATATCTTGCTGGGATTCTGGGAGTCAGGGTAGAATTGTATTGAATCTATAGAATAAGTTGGGAAGAACTGACATCCTGACAATATTGAGTCTTTTTATCCCTGAACATAAAATATCTCTCCATTTAGTTGAGTTGTTTTTTTTTTATTTCACTGATTAGAGTTTAGTAATTTTCTTCATGTAGATTTTGTACATAGTTTGTTAGATTTTTTAATTTATTATCTTTTTTATTTACTTTTGTAAACACTTATTTTTCTCAATTTATTATTTTTATTTATACATCATGTTTATTCTATTACAGTTGTCTCAATTTTTACCCCTTTATCCACCTCTACCCGTCCCACTGGCACCCCCCGCTCCCACAGTCAACTCCAACTCTGTTGTCCATGGATCATTCATACATGTTCTTTGCCTAGTCCCTTCCCATTCTTTCCATCATTGTCCTCTTTCCCCATCCCCTCTGGTCACTTTCAGTCTGCTCCATGTTTCCATGCCTGTGTTTTATTTTGTTCATTACTTTATTTTGTTGAATAGATTCCATTTATAGGTGAGATCATATGGTATTTGTCTTTCATCAAATGGCTTATTTCACTTAATATTATCCAGTTCCATCCATGTTGTTGCAAAAGGTAGGAGGTCCATCTCTCTCTCTCTCTCTTTCTTTCTTAAATGCAGATTGATTTTTTTTAATGTTAAAGTTAATTATAAAATATTATAAAAATTTAAAACCATTATGAAGTCTCAGCAATTAAACCAAATGACCTCACCGAGAAATAATCAAGTAGATCAATGAAATATAATGAGCATTCTAGAGACAAATGTATATATCTGTCTGACAATGTAATATATAATTAAGTTGATATTTCAAATCAATGGGTAGAATAAGGCTTATTCAACAAATATGGTGAATGGACCACTATTACTTGAAATAAAACAAATATAGAGCTCTATTTCATACATTATACAAGAAATATTCAGGTGAGTTAAAAATCAATATGTAGAATACAAGGAGTTTTAGAAGAAAATAGAATATTTTTCATGACGTGAAGTAAAATATTCAAGTCCAGAAGGTATAAAGTAAATATTGACAATATGACTATATTAAACATTTAACTACATAGTAATATACATATAAAAAAGTTAAAGGACAAGGAATAGAATAGAAAAGTATTTGCAACATATCTAAAACATAGTTAATAGATTTTTTGTTTCTTGTGTTTTTGTTTTTTTTTTTTTTTTTAGGGAAAAAAATTCTACAAACCTTTAATAAATAAATAGGTAAAGAATACCAAAAACTCATCATTTAAAGCTTTGTTTTAAAAAAAAATAGAAAAAGGCAAGAAATATACTAAAACAGGTTTAGTTTCAACAAATAGTAAAGGAACAATTAAAATATTATCATCGTCACAATCAGATTAATGAGTATTAAAAATGTTGGTAATATCAATTATTGGAAACTCTGAAAGGCTCTGTGTATTCATAGAAACTTCTTCTCCATCTTAAAGCAGTCCCTTTAGCATATTTTGCAGTGGTGGTTTGGTGGAGGTGTATTCTTTCACCTTCTTTTGTCTGGGAAACTCCTTATTTCGCCTTCTATTTTAATTGAGAGCCTTGCTGGGTAGAGCAGTCTTGGTTGCAGGCCTTTGCTTTTCATGACTTGGAATATTTCTTGCCATTCCCTTCTGGCTTGTAGTGTTTCTGTTGAGAAGTCAACTGCTAGCCATATCGGGGCTCCCTTATATGTTACTACCTCTTTCTCTCTTGCTTGCTTTAAGATTCTCTGTTTGTCTTTGATATTTGCCATTTTAATGATGATGTGCCTTGGAGTGGGCCTCATTCGCTTCCTCTTGAATGGGACCCTCTGTGCTTCCCGCACTGTGTGACTTTTTCTTTCCTTCAATTGGGGAAGTTTTCCATCATTACTTTTTCAAACAGGTTCTCTATCCCTTCCTCATCCTCTTCTCCTTCTTGTATCCCTATTATGCGGATATTATTACGTTTCAGATTGTCCTGCATTTCCCTCAATGCCTCTTCATTCTTTTTGAGTCTTTTTTCATTTTCTTGCTCTTTCTGGGAGCTTTTTTCTACCTTATCCTCCATCTCTCTGATTTGGTCCTCAGCTTCATCTAGCCTGCTTTTGATTCCTTCTATTGTGTTCTTCAATTCAGAAATTGTATTCTTTTTTTCCTTTTGCCTATTTTTGATAGTTTCTATGTCTTTTTTCATGCTGATATAGTCTGCAATAAGTTCTTCATAGTTTTCCTGTAGTTTTTTGTAATTCTCTCTGAGCTCACTGAGCTCATTGAGCTTCCTTCGAACCATCGTTTGGAACTCACTATCTGATAGTTTACTTGCCTCTATTTCACTTAATTCTCTTTTTGGGGATTCCTCCTTTCCCATCGACAGGGGGGTGTTTCTTTGTCTTCTCATTATTTGTGAGACTATTCTTTTTTGCTTCTGCTTCTTAAATTGATCTGTCTTCATTTCCTGACTTTGTGGTGTGAACTTCTATGGTTGGAGACCACTGATTTTACTTTCTGGATCTTACTCTGATGATGTCAGATGTTGACCCTCTCTGACCTTAGGCAGTCTGATCGAGACTTCCAGTAATCTGCTGTTTGTGGCTGTCTCATTCAGCTGTTAATCTATTCACTCTGATTTCAGCAGTGCACCTTAGACAGCACAGAGCGGGGTGGAATCCCACCTGGGGGCAAGGCTATTGGGTCTTTTGATGCTAGTGTCGCTCAGGGGGAGTGACCTCTTCCTGAGCAAAATGGCTGCTGCTGCATGGAGGATGATTGAGCACTTTTATTCCACTGGCTACTTTCTCAGTTCTCTCCCCAAAGCCTCCTTCCCCCGTCTCTCCTCAGGCGTCTCTAGCCCACTGCCCCCGCCTTTGCCAAAGACCATGGTAAGTGGCTGCAAATAAAAATTTTTGCGTTGGCCCTCTTTGCATCTCCAGCAGCCTGTCTCTGGCAGAGAGCAACCCTGCTGCTTTTGGCAGTTGGCTGTTTTCTGTGTACTTTTTGGGCTCTGGTGCTATGAACTAGAGATCCCCACTTTTGGTTTAGACCCCGCTCTTCTCAGGGGGATCCCACTGGCCGTTTCAATATCCTGGTGCTGCTGCCTTCTCAGGTCTGTATCACACTCCTTACCAGTTAGATTGCGCTAAAGCTGATTCTTCTGTCTCTGAGGTTACAAGGCTCCTCCTCGCTCCTGTTCAGTTGTTTGTTCCAGGTGATTTCTCAACAATTTAGTTGTAATTCCAGGTTGGTCCTGGGAGGAGGTCAGTGTGACTTCCACTCACTCCTTCGCCATCTTGATTCTCGAGCCTACTCTCCCTCCTTATCTTTAATCTTGGTAACTTAGTTATGATGTGCTTTGGTGTGTTCCTCCTTGGGTCCATTTTCTTTAGGATTCTCTAGGCTTCCTAGACTTCCTGGAAGTCTATTTACTTTGCCATATTGGGGAAGTTTTCCTTCATTATTTGTTCAAATAAATTTTCAACTTCTTGGTCTTCTCCTTCTCCTTCTCGCAGCCTTATGGTTTGGATGTTGGAGTGCTTAATGTTTTCCCAGAGCTTCCTAAGCCTCTTCTCTCTCTCTTTTTTAATTCTTCTTTCTTCATTCCATTCCAGTTGGATGTTTATTTCTTCCTTTTGTCCCAAATTGTTGATTTGAGTCCCGGGTTCCTTTCCTTCA